AAAATGGGATGGAAATGAAAGATGGGGAAAGAGTTAAACGTGACTGCAAAAGACCCAGAAAATTAAAGCAAGAAGTAAATTTATTGCATCCTGTAGCGAGGGGGAAAATCCACAGGAGGAAAATGTGAAGCAAATGATTTAGTTCATTATTACTGGACTTGGCTTGTGTTGAATGTGCCCATCAGAGTACGTAATGAGGATCCCGGCTGTCTTTCTCAGCGTGTGTTGTCTAAGATGTTCCACAGCATGTTGGTGGGGCGGCGGGGGGGGGGTGTAGTGGTTGTGAGTTATAACAACATGGAGAATTTTGGCTTTTCTTTCTTACTCTCCTCAATCTTGTCCCCTCCCCACACCAAAGAAACATCAAACGAGTTGCATTCATATAGCGCAGACATTGTGAGTGAAACTTCTCCCATGAATCTTTACAGAAAGAGCTCAATTGAAATATTCTGGAGGAAAAGGTGAAAAAGTAATAAAGGTAGTGAAGGGAGTTAACAAGAGGTGCCTTTTGCACTGGTTTAGCGTTAGTTTTGTCAGCCAGGTGTCTGACCCTTGTGAGACCCATCGCCGTGCTTGAATTTTCAAACCAGACTGAGAGTTTTATGTGTAGGTATTTATTTCCTTGTGTGTGGAATGGAATTCACACTCTTCCTGGAGGAATACATCCAGTGTACCTAGTTCCAGAAAGGACTAGGTAAAGTGGGCAGGTTGGCAAAAACCAAGGCTTAGGGGACCGATCCTAGTGTGCATTGGGTACTGCTGGAGTTTAACCAGATAACACCATAATAGTTTGCCGTTGAGAGCACTGACTGGTAAGCTTCTCGATGTGTATCCAGCTGGGACCAGACCACCCTACCGATAAGGCTTTGGCTTGCTGGATTAACAGAAACTGAGTGGGAAGAATCCCTGCCACCCAGTAACTGGTCTGCTGTTTTAAGTCCTACCAACTAGCCAAGCTGGCTGGTCTGTAATCAACAGTGCCCGAGTAATGCAAACCCGCCACGCTGAGGAACCAGACTATTCAGACCCCCACACAACATTGACTTGATTCCAACATTCTGTTGCCAAGCACGTCACCTAGAAGGCAAGGAGAGACCGCTTGCCTGCCATCCACCCTGCAAGGACATTTGAACTGTTAGTAACCAGGCAAAATTGAATTGTTTTAAGTATTGGTTTGAGTGGAATCTTCCTCTCTCCCACTCTTCTACTCTGGGATTTGTGTTTTTAAGTGGAAAAGAGTTCAGCAATTCTGTATATCACAGGGAGGTTGTGATGTTTAGAAAACATAATAAAGCTTAACCAGTGAAAGTGGGGTTGAAAAAGGAATCCTTACCCTAGGTGTTGTGAGTCAGTCCATTCCATTTTCTTACAAGGAACCAGCATCAACTGAGACATTCGAGTGATAAGAACAAAAGAAATGCTAGATGAGAAAAGACCGAGGTCCATCTAGTTGGCCTTCCATCTTCCTGGTGGTCACATGCATATATGTCCCAAACTCCCTATGTATTGCAGCTCATAATGTTATTTCTAAAGGAAAACTATCTAATCTGTGTTTGAAGGAATCAACATGTCCTGCTTCAACCATCCTCGTGTTCCACAGATTCACTATTCGTTCACTGAAATAGTGTTTGCGTAGATTCGTTCTGAATTTAACCCCTTCAATCAATCACAGGCCGGGTCCTCTGGTTTTACTATTCTGGACAAGTTGAAACAGCCTGTCATGATTGTATATTGTTTTGCCCTTTTAGAATCTTAAAGACAGCAATCGTGTCACCTCTCCATCTTCTCTTTTCCAGCGTGATCATGCCAAATTTACTTAGTCACACCTCATAGTCCAGCCCTTCCATTCCCTTAATCATTTTGGTTGCCTGCCCTCCTCTGTATCTTCTCGATTTCTCCAATATCCTTTTTGTACTGCAGCGACCAGAACTGTATACAGTCTCTAAGTGTGGTCTCACAAATGATTTATAGAGAGACAGGATTATCCCATGATTTTGGCTTGCTATTGAATTTTTGATACATCCCAACATCTGGTTTGCTTTACTCACTGACACAGCATTGTTGGGAGAGCTTCAATTAATAGGACCCCCCAGGTGCTTTTCATTTTCTATACATATTACTTTCCTTCCGTTCAAATAATAGTCTTTTCCAGGATGTTTTTCCCCATGTGAAGTAATTTACATTTTCCACATTGAATTTCATCTGCCACCGGTCTGCCCAATTCCCAAGTACGTTTAAATCCTCCTGTAACCCATCTTGTTCAGCTTCACATTTTTTGTTTCTTTTTCACAACCTTTGGAATCAGACCCATTACACTAGTACACTTTAAGGTTTTCCCTAATCTGTTTGGGTGTTCTCTTACACTTACCGTAGTCACCCCTGTACCTAGTTTAAACACTGCCTAACTAAATTATCTATTCTGCATGCCAACCTTTTGTTTAGGTGGAGCCCATCCGGTCTGTATAGATACCCCCGATTCCAAAGGGTGCCTCATTGTTTGAGGAAGTGAAAGCCTGACTCCCTACAACCAATACCTTAACCACAGCCACAGATTGGTCTGCCTAAATACCCTAATAAAGATTTATTTACTTTATTTACTTATTTATTTTATTTATTTACTTCACTTTGTCTCGACGAATGGCTTCTCCTCCACCCCCCGCACTGTCTCATGTGGTGTCCCTCAGGGCTCTGTCCTTGGTCCCCTCCTCTTCACCCTCTATATGCTCCCCCTGTGGTGACATCATCCGCAGACATGGGGTTCACTCCCACATGTATGCGGATGACACCCAACTCTACCTTTCCTCCTCTACTCTCAACTCCACGACCCCCGATGTCCTGACAGCTGTCTGTCCGACATCGAGTCCTGGACGAGAGACAACTTTCTTCAGCTCAACGTGCGAAAAACTGAGGCCCTCCTGATTGGCTCACGTCAGCGCCTCCGCACCTCAGGCGCTGACACCATCAGCTCCACGGCCGCACTCTCCACCTCTCAAAGCCATCAGGAACCTCGGGGTTCTGTTCAACCCTGAGCTGTCCTTTCTCCCTCACATCCGCACTACAACTGGCACCGCCTTCTATCACCTCCGGAACATCGCCAGACTACGGCACTACCTCACCCCTCATGCGGCTGAAACCCTGGTTCACGCCTTTGTCACCTCAAGGCTGGACTATGGGAACTCTCTCCTCGTCGGCCTTCCCGGCCCTCCCTCCACACTGCAGGTCATTCAGAACTCTGCAGCTCGTGTACTGTCCCGCACCAGACACCGCCACCACATCACTCCCACCTTCGCCCTCCCCCTCACCCTCGCCCTCGCTCGCCTCCACTGGCTCCCCATCCCCCAGAGGATTGATTTCAAGATCCTCACCTACAAGGCCATTCACGGCCTCGCTCCCTCCTACCTCTCCAACCTACTATCCCCCTACCTACCTGCCCGTACCCTCCGTTCCTCTGGCACCGGTCTGCTCCACGTCCCCCGCCCCAACCGCCCTACCATCGGTGGTCGGGCCTTCAGCCTCTCAGCCCCGAGGCTCTGGAACTCCATCCCCCAGTGCCTTCGCCGCTTCCTCCCTCTCCTCCTTCAAGGCCGGTCTCAAAACCTTTCTCTTTGACCTTCAGCCTTCAGCTCCCCTCTCGACTCTCTTCCCCCTCCTCGCTCCCTCCCTTCCCTCCCCTCACCCTGACCATTTTCCCCTGCTCGGGTCATGACCCAACTGTGCAGCGCCTTGGGACGTCCTCCTGACGTGAAAGGCGCTTTATAAATGGAATCTTGTTGTTGTTGTATTAGACTAATTAGACGATAAAGACTTGGTGAGTTAGGATAGGAGGATATGGAGAAAAGGCTTCATGGGATTTTATTGCAAGTGGAGTGACTGCAATTGTAGGTGAACGAGGCAGACAATTTGTGCACAGCAATGTCCCACAAACAACTATGATATTGATGACAATTTTATTCAGGGGATTGTTGCCAGGACTCTGGGAGAAACTCCCTTCTTGAATCAAATAGTGCCGTGGGATCTTTAACGTCCATCTGAACAGACGGGAAAAAGTTTTAACGTCTCATCCAAATGATGGCACCCACACCCATAGCACTGCACTAGGGTGTTAGCATAGACTATACGAATTCGAAGTCCCAATGTAAGAGCTTGAACCCACAACCTTCTGATTCAGAGGCAAGAATGCTACCAACTGAACACAGACAATTGGATGTATAAGAGAGAACTTGCATTTTTATAGTGCCTTGTCAGATCAAAACATCCTGTTCCTGCCAGCCATGAAAGGAATCACTCATTTATGTGGAGTATTGTTGGCTAGGACAGCAGGAGAAACTCCCTTCTCTTTTGCAATTGTATCAGTGGACCTTTAACATGCATCTGAAATAAAGGAAGATGGGACCTCGGTTTGATGCCGTATCCAAGAGATGGCACCTCCAACAATGTAATACTCTTCTTTCTCCCCCCCCCCCCAAGTATTGTAGAGTCCTGTAGACTTGTGGAGTCTTGTAGCTCAGTGGTTAGAGCATTCGCCTTGCAAGCGAGAGACCTGGTTTGACTCCTGGGCGAAATGTTTGGCAGGTTTTCTTACTCCACATGCCTCTGTTTACCTAGCAGTAAGTAGGAACTCGGTTGTTAGTCGATTGGCGGATCAGTTTTCCGGGGGGTAATAATTCCTTCAAAAAATAATAATAATCAACTGGTCACTGCAATCCATGACATTTGTGGGACACTGCTGTACGCAATTGGCTGCTGCGTTTTGCTCACAAAATATACAGTCAATTCACTTTACAGAATATTCTGGGAGCTCTTTGAGACGTCTCGAAGACATGATAAGGTGCTATATCAAATGCAAAGATTATTATTACTAAGCGCATGATTTGAACCCAAAACCTCCTAACTGAGACAAGTGCTTTACTGACTGATCCCATCTAGGACAGGGCTGCAGGGAGAGGACATTAAATGCTACCTTCACTTTGTTTATAACTCTCTTATTCTTTTCTTTGTAGATTATCCAGTACCAGACCGTTCGTTATGACGTTCTTCCTCTCTCTCACCTTTCCCGGGTCAGATTAAGTAAGTATCAGAGTTTTGGACGGGACAGTAACCTGAGCTTCTGTCTGTTCAGGTGGACATTAAAGACCCTGTGACACTACTTGAAAAGAGAAGGGAGTTTCTCCTTGTAGTCAATACCTTCAAATAAAATTGGTCACCGCTGTTTGTGGGACATTGTTGTGTGCAAATTAGCTGCTGTTCCTCCTATAAATATAGTCACCACTCTTTACAGTAAATCCCATGAAGCTCTTGAGATGTTTTGACAATATGATAAGTGTGATATTGAATGCGAGGATTATTATTACGTATAATCGTGTGATCAGCTAGCACAGCATAAACCATCCTCTTGTCTACCTGTATACTTAGCATCTGCACAATTTAAAATAAATAATAATTTGGCAAAATTGCTGTAAATTTTCAGTATAGTTGAACATTTCTCTTTGATGGAAGTGATATAAATGGGTTCATACAATGGGCGGATAGGTGGCGGATGAAGTTTAGGGAAATGTGAAGTAATTCACTTTGATAGGAAGGATAAAGAAAGTGACTATACACTGGTTGGTAGAACCTAAGAGGGCGACATTGACGAAGGGATCTAGGAATTCAGGTATAGAGGAATAAGACAGTGGGGTGTGTTTAGAGTACGATTATGGCACAAACTATTTGGTTCAAATAGCCTGTTTCCATACAGTATCACTCTATATAGCTAATAGCTATATAGCTAATTCAGCACAGGTAAATTACAGGTAAAAGCTGTGATTTTCTTGTCTGTTTGTCTCAGTGGTGCAACAAGCTCCACTTTTACCCACTAGACTATTGAGGGATTAGGAGTAATCTTGTTCAGTGCAGTTTACAGGGTTTTAATATGGCTCAATGCAAGCACAGGCTTAGTTTGGTACCAGTTTTTTACTTGCCTTCAGTATATACAGTGGAGTTCTGCAGCTTAGTGCTTAGAGCACTCCCCTTGTAAGCGAGTGGACCTGGGTTCGATTCCCGGGCAGGGAAAAGTTAGGCAAGTTTCCTTACTCCACACACCTCTGTTTACCTAGCAGTAAGAGGAAACCAGTTGTTAGTCAATTGGCAGATCGCTTTTCTGGGGGAAATAATCCATTTAAAAATAAATGAATGAATAATTTAGTCAGTCAATCCACTACTATGTGGGACGCTGCTGTGCGCGAACGACTGCTGTGTTTCACTCTCAAAATATACAGTCAATTCACTTTACTGTATATTCTGTGAAGCGCTTTGAGAAGTCTCGAAGACATGATAAGACTCTATATCAAATGCATGGATTATCAAATGCATGAATTATCATTATGTATAGCGCACATTGTACTGGCAAGCACATCAAATAAAGAACTTGTGTTTATTTCCGGCATCTTTTCAACCTCAAAGCAGCATGCAGTAGTTATTCTCAAGTGCAGTAAGTGCTTTTGTCAGTAAACAAGGCAGCCACCAGGTGAATAAACTATTAACCTGTAGGATCGGCCAGGAAGGCAGGAGAAACTTGATTCCCTATTCCGGTACTGCCTGCGAACACATAGACTGGACCTCTGGGTAATGTTTCATTTGACAGACTGCACCTCTGACAATGCAGTGTTTTTTTTCCCCCCCTCACCCCCAACTATTGCATAGAGTGTCAGTCTACACTATAATATCGAGGGACCAATATGGGGCGTGAACGCATAATCTTATGATGCAGAGGCAAGAATATCACTTATCATATCAACACTCATGTTTTTCAGTGTAAATTAATGTATATAAAATACAAGTCCTCTCACTTCCTCTCTTTTTCTCTCTATCTCATTCTCTTTCTCTGACTTTCTCTGTTCACAGATCAGGTGAAAAGGAAAATCCTAGTTTTAGACTTAGACGAAACATTAATCCATTCACACCACGATGGGGTGTTAAAGCCCGCAGTGAGGCCAGGCACGCCACCAGACTTCATGCTGAAGGTGAGGAAATAAAAGCTCTACTCTGAAAAAGTGCCCTTTGCTCCTTTAAAGCTCTCGTGTTAAAGACTTGCCTCTCACTCACCCCTTTTAGTCTTGTGCTCTCTCTCTGGCTCGCTCCCTCACTCCCTTTTGCTTTTGGTTTCTCACGCTCTAGCTATTTACACCGGCAAAACCATTCATAAATTTGCAGTTCCTCTACAGTAAAACCCACATAAGTCTGATCTGTATAATTGTCTGTCGTATATCTGCCCCCAGTCCTGTTTGAGAGTTTATATTCTATGCAAGTTTGGCAAACTTTGTGTAAGTCATAATAAATGTATGGTCTCAATGGATACAACTTGTGTGAGCTTTACTGTACTACATTGCACTTTCATATTCTTCGTTACAACGACAGCCCCTAAAGTCTCTCCGCATAACTCTAGCCCATCATTCCCTGGTGGCATCATCCCAGTCAAGAATGACTGGTGACCCTACGCTGCAGGTAATGTAGTCTTCTCCAGGTCCTGTCAGGAGCTTAAGAATTATCCTATTTTTCTACTGAAAAATATTTTGTCTTGGTTACAAAATTCTTAGAAGTGAGGAAAAGCTTTTTTTTAAAAAAAATTGCAGCTTTGCTTATCGCTGTCCAAGACAAAGTTGGCATCATCTCCAATGTGTCAGGAGGTAGGAAGTCTTTTCAGTGCAATGTATTTTTATAGCATATTACTATGTACAGCAACTCCAAATACTTCACTCATGTTGTTACTGTTCTTGTAGGCAAATATAGAGGTCATTTTGCCGACTGCAAGGTTCTGTGCACAACTGTGAGGTGAACGATTAATTAATCTGAAGGGTTGTTGACCAGGAAACTGGGGGAAACTCCCTTCTCTTTTCCAATGTCACCGGATCTTTCATGTCCATGAAAAGTAGGCAGGTCTAGAAACTGAGCCAAACTAATAAGGCTTGGCAGCAATTGTTTCTGGGTGGAGAGGACCATCAGTCCATGAAATACCCTTCCAACTTCCCTAAAGATTCTTTTCGCAATTTCAGCTGGCGCATTGCACAAGCCTTTTAATTTCTGGGAACTTCTTACCCTTCACCACAAAACCTGTCCTCTTGTCCCAGTATATGGTGAGAGACTGCATCTACAGCTTCCGGCAGCGTAAAACTTGTATAAAGTCACGGCACAGAAACGGTGCTTCTCCTCACACAAACCACCTCATCTAATCCCATTCTCCTGCTTACTCCCCAAACCTTTTAACATTGTGGAGTCCTGTAGCTCAGTGGTTAGAGCACTCGCTTTGCAAGCGAGAGACCTGAGTTCAATTCCAGGCAGAGGGCGAAACCTTGGGCAAGTTTCCTTACTCCACACAGAGCCTAATAATAATCCCTCCAAAACTAAAAAAAATAATAAATTGGTCATTTTCAATCTACGACTGTTTGTGGGACATTGCTGTGCGCAATTGGCTGCCGCGTTCGCCCACAAATATACAGTCAATTCACTTTACAGTGTGTTCTGTGAAGCACTTTGGGACGTACTCCCGATGTGAAAAGCGCTATATCAAATGCAAGGATTATTATTCTTAACATTTTAAGCATTTTGAGATGTCCTCCCGAATGGAAGGCGCTGTCTAAAATGTAAATTGTATCGTATTTCCCCTTTAGAATCTTAGCACAATCCATTTTAAAAGAATCAATAGATTTCCGCTAACCTCAAATACCATCTCTAATCTAAACTAAAACTCAAAAACAAATGACATTTATATAGCGCCCTTCACATCAGCAAGAGGTTCCGAGGGGCTGGACAGTCCAGGGTTTGTACCTACACTGTGGGCTGGGGCGGGGGGGAAGATGACCGAAGGTGTAGTCAAAGAGGAAGGTCAGGCTTTAAACAACTTAAAGATAAAAAACTTTACATATGTAAAAGATAGATGGATGTGGTTTAAATATATAATATATATTATATATTTGAACATATCTATATATATAAATAAAACTTTGAACAGTTTAAAGCCTGAACAGGGGAGTATGAATGGTGAATATAATTAACACAGGTTGCTTGTCAGTATTAAAGGCCAACTCCTTTCTCTCTGTGCAGGTCCTCGTAGACAGACATCCCATCAGATTTTTTGTACATAAAAGGCCTCACGTGGACTTTTTTCTAGAAGTGGTAAGTCACCGTGGGGCAGAGCCTATGCAAACGTCCCAAATTTTAACTTAATTTTTTTTCTAGATCAGAAAAAAACCCAAAGTTAATCGTCTTTGTTATTAGTTGGGGTGAAGGGAAGTATGGTTTTATCAGGCTCCCTGTATATGTGAATCATTAACTCCATCATGTGGAGTCCTGTAGCTCAGAGGTTAGAGCACTCGCCTTGCAAGCGAGACACTTGGGTTCAATTCCCGGCAGGGCGAAACCTTGGGCAAGTTTCCTTACTCCACACAGAGCCTAATAATAATCCCTCCAAAGCAAAACAATAATAAATTGGTCATTTTCAATCCACAACTGTTTGTGGGACATTGCTGTGCGTAATTGGCTGCCGCGTTTCGCCCACAAATATACAGTCAATTCATATATTCAATATATTCTTTGAAGCGCTTTGAGACATCTAGAAGACGTGAAAAGGGCTATATTAAATGCAAGGATTATTATTATTAAATCTACCCGGGTGCCTGCTTCCTGTTAGCCGTTAATCTAATCCCAATCTTCTGCCTGCTTCCCATACCCTTTAATATTCCTCCTCTACCCAATTTCCCTTTTCAAAGAATTAATGGATGTTGATCCCGTTGTTGGCAGAGAATTCCACATTGGTAAAGACCCTATTATTCGAACCTCCCCTTAAATTCTGCTTGTGATTCTCTTTGCATTTTTGCTTCCTTGTTACCTGGGCCAAACTCCGCACCCCAGTCCTTGTCAGTCCCACTGGCTGCCTATATTGTAGAACATAGCAATTTTCAAGATCCTCAATCACAAATCACTTGATACCTGGAACCTCCCGACCTCTCTGACCTGCTTTAATACCCAATTCCTCTATCCGGCGCCTTTGCTCAGCCACCCCAGCCTCCTGCACGACCCTCATCCCCTCCGCTCTGCCATCAGCGGGCATGCTTTCAGTCTCGATGTGCTGAAACTCTGCAATTCCCTCGGTCAATCCCTTCCCCTTGCCCCCTCTTTGCTAATCACCTGAAAACCTACCTCTTCGATCAGGCCTACAGTCATCTCCCCTCTCTTCCTGGCCAGATGTCAACCTCCACCACTGTTAGTTGCTCAGATCCTACCCCACATAAAGGGCGCTGTATAAATGTGTTTTATTGTTGACCAGTGGAAATAATTATTATTTTACCCAATATGACCTTTCGTAATCTGGAAAATCTTTATCCGGTCACCCCTTGACCCTCTCGGCTCAAGTGAAAATAGCCCCCAACTTCATCCCTGGTTACACCCTGGTTAACACCTTCACTGCACCTGTTTCATAATATTTATTCCCATCCTAGAATATGTTGCCCCAAACTGTAGACAATACTCCCAATCATGCCCTGTTGATTAACAATGATATGACTAGATTAGTGTGAATATCTGGGTAAAAGGGGTGAATGTGGAGAGAATGCACTATCTGGGGAGTATTGGCTCTGATCTGGCTGGTGCTTGTCTTCTAATTATTTGTTGTTTGTCTTTGTTGTGTGGCTGATGCGCTTTTATCTTAAAATAAAATAAGCAGCAAGATAATGTGAGGCGAGGGGTAGTTTCGGGCGCCAGTAAAATCCCAACCAGCCTGATAACATGGTGCGATCAATGTTCAGTGCGGTGTTGCTGGTTGTCACCAGGGTCGCTGTTATAAGAGAAACCGCATTCTAACAGGGCTGTCCTGCAGAGGGTGCCCAGGTGGTCAGTGTGACTGACCAATTCTCTGGACCTCAACTCAACTACAATCTCGCTTTGAATGTGAAGCTAGATTGCAGCTGAAAGAGAGAGTACGTTGGGAGTCTGAGCATCGTAGTGCAGGTGAACCTCACTAATTCAGTCTGGCTCAATTTGCAGCATTCTCGCCTCTTGAGTAGCAGGGTTGTAGGTTCAAGTTGAGTTTAGAACTTGTATAGTCTCTGCTGATCCTCCGAAGCAATGCTGGGTTGGGAGGGGGAAGAATCATTGCATTGCCGTCCTTCAGGTGAGACATCAAATCAAAGTCCTGTCTGCCTGTTCCGGTGGATGATACAGATCCTATGGCACAATTTGAAAAGAGAAGGGAGTTTCTCCTAGTGTCCTGGGCAGCAATCCTCCAAATAAAATTTGTCCTTCACTTCATGGCTGTATGAGGGGCATTTTTATGCTCAAATTGGCTGCTGGGTTGGTTTTGGGATGTCCTCTCGACATGCATGGCACAGTATCAGATGTAAGGATTATTATTAATTCATTAACAATAAAAGTCTAGCTTTATTTTGTATAAACTTCACACCACGTTTATTGTTCATTTTTCGATTCAGTCATGACGTTAGTTCTATCTGCCTTTTGATAATAATCCTTGCAGTTGATATATATTGTGTCAAATTTGCTATATACAATATATGTGTATATAAAATGATTTATATAGATATATATTTTACATATAGCAAATTTGAGATGTCTCAAAGCACTTCACAGAATATTCTGTAAACTGAATTGACAACGTATTTTGTGAGTGAAACCCGGCAGCCAATTGCTCACAGCAGTGTCCCACAAACAGTTGCGGATTGAGTGTCCAAATTATTATTTATTTATTTTAACTAATTGATTCTGGTGACTGTGAAGGGAATCATTTTCCACCTAGAGTGTTCATTTTATTTCAAATGAATCTCGTTCTGGAAGCTCTTTGAGACGTTTTATTTACGTGAAAGGCGTGATGAGTAATACACCGATGTATGTCTCCGGTCAGGCCAGCCAGTGGTATGAGTTGGTGATCTTCACAGCAAGTATGGAGATCTACGGTGCAGCTGTAGCAGACAAACTAGACAACAACAAGAAACTATTAAACAGAAGATACTACAGACAGGTAATAATAATAATAATCCTCACATTTGTTATAGCGCCTTATCACGTCTTCGACATGTCACAGAATATACTTTAAAGTGAATTGAGTATATTTTGTGGGAGAAACGTGGAAGCCAATTGCAGACAACACTGTACCAAAACAGTCGTGGATTGATGTGACAAAATTATTATTATTTATTTTTGAAGGAATTATTACACCCCGGAAAAGCGATCTGCCAATCGACTAACATCCGGGTTCCTACTTACAATACAGTACAGCAAGCACTCAGTACACGCACCACAGGCTCAAGAACCTTCACATGATTTTCAGTTGTTAATAACAATCCTTGCATTTGATTTAGTACCTCATCACATCAACGTCTCAAAGTGCTTTGCAGGATTTATATAGTAAAATATATATTTGTAGGTGAACACAGCAGCCAATTTGTGCTCAGCAATATCTGCACAAAATAGTGAAGTGTGTGCCCCAACTTTTTCTCCAGTTGTGAAGACCAGTTTGAGAATTGGGGGTGGGGGAGAGATTATATCAGAGCCGTAAATGTTAACTAGTCAATATTCACATCTGAATATTTTTGACATATGATTATTTCACTGACTAACTCAAACCAAATGTTGATGGTTGGTTCCAGTGTTAGTGCCTATAACATTTATTCTGCAACATTAAGAACATCTCAAAGCACTTCACACATAGTTATTGTGAAGTGTAGAGACCATAAAAGGTTATAAAATTTGCCCTCCTCAGCAGCTTGTGTCAGTAGTGGACTATAGATACTATTTGCAGCCATTTGTACATGGCAAGGTCTGCAAACAGCCATGAAGTGAAGGAGCAATTAATCTGGAAGACTCCTGGGCACCAGGAGAAACTTATCGCTGGTTCATCAGGCAGATGTTAAAAAGCTGATGGGATCTCAGATTAATCATCATGTCCGAGTGAAGCTGCTCGACATCGAACTAATCTATGGCAGTACTCAAAACCTACTGAGAATGGGAGCTGTGTGTGTGTGTGGGAGAGAATGGGAGAGAATGGGAATTTGGAGAAGCAATGTATCTGCTATATTGAAATTGCTTTCTAATTGCCGTCCCTTTGTCTTGTTTCCTGTTCCCCAGCACTGCACACTTGAGTTGGGCAGCTATGTAAAGGACCTGGCAGCCATTCACAAAGACCTCTCCAGTATTATAATATTGGATAATTCTCCGAGTGCATACAGGGGGCACCCAGGTAAGCTGCTGTCTGCTCTTGTCAACGTGTCCAAGGTCAACTGTGTCTCAGTAGAAAACTTTGGGGGTGAAAATCACAAGGTGTGATTTAATGTTTTAGTGAACATCGCATTATACCTGTGTATGTTGTAACCTTCTCTGATCCTCATTACAAGAATTAAGATTGAATTAACCAGAGGAATAATGGTGTATTTGGTGGGAAAATCTTCAATAGCAGTATGACAACTTGACTGAGAGGTTGTATAGCCATGTAGTAATCCCCACTTGTATTAATTCCCACTTGCAGCAGCATTGCCTTGTGTAAATGGGATTCCTCTTTATTATTATTCTTCCCTCAGCCAGGGAGCAACTACTTAGAGATTTCTACTGTGCCTTTCACATAAAAAGAAGCTTCTCAAAGCATTTTGATAATGGGGGGAATTAACAAATTGAGTGTTACATAGGCAAACGTGGCAGCAATGAAAAAGCAGCTAATTAATTTCAGGGTGAATTTGGTTGAGAAAAGCAATATAACTAAATCGAGAAGTTGAGATGTCTCAAAGCGCTTCGCAGGATGTACGTAAAGTGTAGTGCCTGTTTTTGTGGGTAAAATACTGCAGCCAGTTTGAATGTCCCACAAATGGCCATGGAGTGAATGGCCAATTTTTATCTGGGGAATTTCTTGGCCAGGACACCAGGAGATAGAAACTCCCATTTTCTTTACGAATAGCGCCGTGGGATCTTTATCGACCACCTGAACAGGCAGATGGACAGAGCCTCAGGTGAATGTCTCATCCGAAGGGTACCACCTCCGATGAAATCTGACTCCTTCAGCACTGCACTGAAGCGTCAGCCTGGACTAAGCTCATCTGTGTTTTATTTTAACAGACAATGCAATACCTATCAAGTCTTGGTTCAGTGATCCTGGAGACACAGCGTTATTAAATCTATTGCCTATGCTTGATGCATTGAGGTATGTTGATTTTGTATAATCTCTCTGGCTCGAAATTCCATTAATTTCAGCCTGTAAAATCATATAGTCTCAAATTTAAGGTGGAGAGAATTATATATTTTGTTTTAAAACTAATAATAATAATACTCCTTTCATTTGATATAGCGCTTTTCACATCTTTTAGACGTCTCAAAGCGCTTCACAGAATAGACTGCAAAGTGAATTGATCGTATATATTTGTGGGCGAAATATAGCAGCCAGTTGTGCACAGCAGTGTCCCACAAACAATCGTGGATTGAAATGACCGATTTATTATTGTTTTTTTGAGGGATTATTATCAGGAGTGGAGTAAGGAAACTTGCCCAAGGTTTCACCCTGCCGGGAATCAAACCCAGGTCTCTCGCTTGCAAAGCCAGTACTCTGACCACTGAGCTTTCATTTCCAGATTAATTTAAAGTTTTAAATTTTTTAAAATTTCTGGGGTGCCAGAGTTCTTAAAGAAACCCTCTTCCAAATTAATACTGAATTCCAGAATTCTTACAATTTCCTTTTCAAAGAGAAAAATCATACTGTCGTGGGATATTTAGGCCGGTGCTCAGTTTAATGTCTCACCCAAATGATCAACTTCTCTCCCCTCCCACACACACACATCAGCCTAGAATTCAAGTCCTAGGGGGGGGCTGACCACAACCTTCTGACCCAGGGACAAACACACTGTTGTTATCAAGGGGGAGAAACTCCCTTCTTTTTTCGAGTCATGGGATCTTTAACATCCAACAAACAACAAATTCCATTTACACAGCGTCTTACACGTCGGGAGGACGTCACAGGGCACTGGACAGTTCAGGATTTGAACTCGAGCTGTGGCTTGGACTCGAAGATTGGAGTTGGGTGATTGGGGCGGGTAGGAATGTGGCCAAATGCACTGTCTAAGGGGAGGGTCTTTAGCTGAGCCTTGATGGTGGCAAGGAAGGGGGTGAGGTGGAGGGATTCAAGGATGGAGTTCCAGAAGGTGGGGCAGAGAAATTGAAGGTCCAATCGCCAATGGTGGGGAGGACACGATGGGGTCCACCTGAGCAGGTACAGACGATACCTTGGTTTAACATCTCAAAAGAAGGATGGCACCTCCACAAGTGCAGCGCGCCCCCCCCCCACCACCACCTCCCACCCCCCCACCACAAATGCGGGCAAAGTCTCGGCCCAGATTGTGAGGTCTGAGTTCTGACTTGGGGGCTCGAATCTACAACAACAAAAAATTACATTTGTACAGCGTCTATCGCATCAGGAGGATGTCCCAAGGCGCTGAAAGGTTAGCGGATCCGTATCACTACAACGTTCTGACTGGGAGGCGAGAGAGCTAAAAAACGCACTTTTTCATTCACGTGTGAGGAGAAGCTTCATGTCCGGCTCAAAGTTCTCTTCTCTTCCTCAGATTCACGTCCGATGTCCGGTCCGTCCTTAGTAGAAACCTGCACCAGCATCAGCTATGGTGACGTTGGCTTCAGCTGCTGCTTCTGTTTCTTTTAATCGTCCGTTCTCCCCGCTGCTGCCTCCTCCTCCCGTGCTAGAAACTTTTTATGAACGAGACTGCAGTGCTGGGGGGAGGGAAGGTGGGGTGAAGAGAGAGACAGAGCTGAACGTCCATGGAGTGAGCTGAGCTCAGCCGGATTGGATCGCCCATTCGGGAATGCTGTTCTACAGCTTTTTATACAACTTCAAATCAGTGCTGGAAAGACTCTCGTCCACAAAATCTATTTAAATTTCATCTCTGCATTCTCCTTTCGAGATTGGTCTATTTTAGCCTGAAACGCCTCACTCTCGGAGCAATGATTTTATTTTATTTAATTTATGTTTTTTTTAAAAAAAAGGAAAGGTCTTTTTTTTCGACTCCACAAAAAGAAGCCTCAAACGACTTAATTCATCAGTTTTTAAAAGTAAAGACTGTCAGTGAGATTGCCCCCCTGTTGAATAGGGGGTGAATTTTAACCACTCTGAAGGCTAAATCCATCCTCTCCGCTCAGCCCCACAAGAGGGCTTAACTTTGCAATTGATCGAGTTCCTGAGTCCGACCTGTTTTTGGTGCTAAACCGCTGGAATTTTACAATGGGTCTTCGGGCTTTTTTTTGTTTCGTTTTTTTCCTAAATGCCGATCCCTAACGTGTGAACACATCTGTCCAGGTTGCTTTTATCAAATGGCAGTATTAATGACGGCTTTATTTCAAAGGAAGAATAAAATCTTATTTCGAGTACGTGGGTTATTCATGCAGTGGCTTCATTAGTGACCTGAGGCGTGGAGCAGGAAGCATGACTTGGTGTGGGGTGGGAGGGGGTGGGGCTCAATCATGTCAGAAAGCTTATATATTGACTGCTGTCAAGCGTAGTCCCTGTGTGTTAAACCGAACCATAGAAATTTGCAGCGTAAAATGATACCATTCAGCCTGTCGTGTCCGTGCTGGCTCCCTCGAGCAATTCTCTCAGTCACATTTCCCTACCCTTTCCCCGCCCACACCTGCAGCTGATGGCATGAAACAATATTCTCTTATCCTCCCAGTTTGTTCGTTTATTAATTATCTTAAATTGATTTTGGAGGTGGCCTAGTTTTATAGGCAACAAAAATTACATTTGTACTGTGGCACATCAGGAGGAGGCCCCAAGGCATTTTGTCAAGAAGACAGACAAAGTGGCAGGAGAGTTGCGTATTTGGTTGCGTTTGGCACCATTTTAATGTAATCCATTGATCTCCTGCCTCGAACAATAATATATTTAATTGCAAAAATAGCTCCAAATCAAATTTGAGCTGTGTTCGAGCACTCTGAGTCTCTACTTTGTGTAAGGGAGTGCTATAATAAAGGCAAGTTATTCTTATGCTACAGTAACGTCCAGCTTTACAATGCCACCAAGCCTTACAATGACACCCAAGGACCAGTTTAGAATCTCAGGTCAAGGAATCTTCCTCCAGCCCCACTTGGCTGCCATCTACGGGCAAAAACATTATTGCCCAATCATCCATATCAGCAGTGGCCACCGACCTTTTTGATCAGCCAGCTAAATAAATTTGTCTTCATTTATGGAGATTGCAAACGTAACACCACTATTTAAGAAGGGTGGGAGAGAAAAGATGGGGAACTATAGACCAGTCAGTCTGACATCAGTGGGAGGGAAAATTCTTGAGTCCTTAATTAAAGATGTCGTTATGGGTTTCCTGGAAGACCATAACAAGATTAGACGGAGTCAACATGGCTTTACAAAAGGGAAGTCATGCTTAACTAATCTTTTAGAGTTTTTTGAAGATGTATCTGCAGGTTAGATAGGGGGGAACCAGTAGGTGTAGTATATTTAGATTTTAAAAAGGCATTTGACAAAGTGCCACACAAAAGGCTATTGCACAAGGTTAAGGCCCACGGGATTAATGGGAACATATTAGCATGGATTGAAGAGTGGCTAACGGGTAGAAAACAGAGAGTAGGGATAAACGGGTCATTCTCGAATTGGCAGGAGGTGACTAGTGGAGCGCCACAAGGATCAGTGCTGGGACTCAGCTATTTACAATTTACATCAATGATCTCGATGAGGACATTGAATGTAACATATCTAAATTCTCGGATGACACTAAACTCGTTGGGAGAGTGAGCTCTGAGGATGATGCAAAAAGATTGCAACGGAATATAGATAGGCTTGGGGGGTGGGCGAGTAGGTGGCAGATGGAATTTAATGTGGGGAAGTGTGAAGTTATTCACCTCGGTGGCAAAAATAGAAAACAGATTATTTTCTAGAAGGGGAGAGATTAGATAGTGTTAGTGTTCAGAGGGATTTGGGTGTCCGTGTACACCAGTCTCAAAAAGTTAGTTTGCAGTGCAGCAGCAACTAAGAAGGCGAACGGCAGTTAGCGTTCATTGCAAAAGGTTTAGAGTACAAGAGTAGGGAAGTCTCGCTGCAACTGTATAGGGCTTTGGTGAGACCGCACCGAGAGTATTGTGTGCAGTTTTGGTTTCCTTATTTATAAAAGGACATACTTGCCCTCGAGGGGGTGCAGCGTAGATTCACTCGGTTAGTTCCTGGGATGAGGGGACTGACCTATGAGGATAGGCTGAATAAACTGGGGCTGTATTCTCTATAGAGTACAGAAGAATTAGGGGGATCTTATTGAAACATATAAGATTCTTAAAGGGCTGATAAAGTAGACACTGAGGGTCTGTTTCCCCGGTGGGAGAATCTATAACCAGGGGTCACAGTCTGAAAATTAAGGGTCAGCCTTTTAGAACAGAGTTGAGGAAACATTTCTACACTCAGAGAGTAGTGAATTTATGGGATTCACTACCCCAGAAGGCTGTAGATGCTCAGTCCTTGAACATCTTCAAGGCTGAGACTGATAGATTTTTTAAAAAAATAGAGGGATTGGGGGATATGGGGACAGGGCAGGTAATTAGAGTTAGGTCTGAAGATCAGCCATGATCTTATCGAATGGCGGGGCACAGGCTCGAGGGACCGAATGGCCGACTCCTGCTCCTAATTCTTATGTTCTTATGTTCATTTACGGCGGTGCTATGGGTGGTATCACTGTTCGATTAGATGTGGCGCAAGTTTGCCTGGACTGGCAGGGATGGCCACTTCTTGACGCTCCCTAGAAGTTCATTGCAATCGATCGGTTGGAAACCCCAGATCTACACAGTGAAATGGTGCAGATGGTTTACACTGAACGTGTCGGATCTCAAAGCTTCTCTTTTCAAACAATTCATTTTACAGCGTATCCTGTGAAGTCTCGAAGACGTGATAAGGCGCTGTATCAAATGCAAGGATTATTATTACGATGAATATCAGACGACATCAACCTGTCGGATTGCTGTGAAAATCTCACACTTCATCTGATTTCTGATCTCTTAAATTAAAAACTGAGGTTCTCGTTCCTCTACCAGCTGCCGAGCTGAGAACAGCCTGAATTACAGGCTTCGTGGGCGGGCAGGGGGCGAGAATGAATTAAATAAGAGTTCATTTTAAGTCTTGCTATAGTTGAACATGTAGCAGGTGATGAATGCAAAGTGATGCATTTTGAGAGGAGGAATGAGGAGAGGCGATATAAGCTGATTGTACAATCTTAAAGGGGGTGAAGGAACAGAGAGACCTGGGGGACATATAGTAAATCTTTGAAGGTGGCCGGACAGGCAGATAAAGCTGTTAAACAAGCATATGGGATACAAGGCTTTATAAATAGGGGCATAGAATACACAAGTCAGGAAGTTATGATGAACCTTTATATAAAACACTGGTTAGGCCTCAGCTACAGACTGTGTTCAGTTCTGGCCCCATACTTTAGGAAGGACGTCAAGGCATTGGAGAGGGTGCAAAGAGATTTACCAGGATAGTACCAACTGAGGGACTTCAGTTATCAGGAGAGGTAGAGAAGCCGGGATTATTGGAACAGAGAAGGTTAAGAGGACTTAATAGACATTTTCAAAATTATGAGGGGATTTGATACGGTGAATAAGGAGAAACTATTTCCACTGATGGGTGGGTCTGTATTCTGAGGACACCGATTTGCATCCTTTTGGAACAACTGTGTATTTTCTATTTTGTTGAAGTATCTATTGGTGAGGGAGGGGTTATAGTTGCATGTTTGACAGTTCAACTGGGACGTTGTGAAGTGAGACTGAACACAGAGTTTAAAGCACTGTCAAGAATAGACACTGTTTTAAGCCACACAACCACAGAAATTTACAACACAGATCGATTTCCGGCCCATTGCGTCTGCTGTGCCCTCGAGCAATTGTTTAACATCCAAATTTTGTGCACATTATTTCATCATTAATTAAATAATGAAAGTAGTTTCCTTAAACCTCCCTCAAATTGAAGCATTTTGGGGCACTTTGCTACAGCAAAAAGCGTCATGAGTGAGTGCAAATTGTTCATCGAGAGACTAGAGAATCTGCTATAAAATGGAAGTTTGTTTTGATAAGGTAAATGAGGAGAAGCTATTTCCAATGGTGGGCGAGTTTGTAGTTGGAGAAGGATTTCTATGTGTAGGTGGCATGCATGGAAGTCTCAGCTTGGTTTGGGTTTTCGGTGATGGGTTTCTGCATGTGTCAGACCCCACCCCACCCCAAAAAAAAAGTAAAATGGAGGACATCATCTTTTAAGATCACCAAAACCAAGCGATTTAATAAAAACAAATTGTATTTGGAGAAGCAGTAGCCGTTAAGAAGGGAATTGGACAAATATTTCAAAAGGAAACCATAATATGGAGCATGGGACAGGGGTAAGGGAGTGGGGCTGAATGGTAGGCGGGTCTTTCAGAAAGTCTGGATGAATAAAAAAAGCCAAATGGCCTCCTTCTGTGCTGACGAATTCTAGAATTAAACTGAGAAATTAATGACAGTGTTAGGTTCTTCAGTTTGTGGCTGTGAATAGGATGTGGGTGCATGTCACAGTTGCTCTCCTCCATGGTTTTCTTTTACTTTTCACCATTTAAAAAGGAAGAATTTGTGTCTTTTTGTGATTTAGCATAATATTAATGCGTTTCATTTCATTTCCTTGCATTTCGTGCAGCACTTTATCACAACGTTGAGATGCTCCAGGACTCAGTAGCACGAGCTGACATAGGAGTGTCGCTCCAATGCAGTGCTGGGGGAAGTGCTGCATTGCTGGAGGCATCGTCCTTCAGATGAGACGTTATTACGTGAGATCCTGTTATTACCTTTCAAATGGACGTTAAAAATCCTTGCTATTTGAAAGGAGAAGGGAACGTTTCCCAGTATAAAATGCAAAGATTGGTATTATTTTATGTCTCGAAGCAGTCGCTGTCAAGTGTAGTAACTGTGTTTGCAGTCAAGAGGCGGCAGGCAGGTTGGGATGTCCGACAATCAGCCGTAATGCAAATGAGTAACTTATCGGAGGGCCAGGTAGCCAACAACAAAAACAAATTACATAGCGCCTTTCACGTCAGGAGGACTTCCCAAGGCGCTGGGCAGTCAGGCATCCTGACAGTCGGAGAAGCTCCCTTATCTTTTCAAATAATGTCGCGTAATCTTTCACATCCACCCGCAAGACAGGACCTTGGTCTGGTGGCTCATCCAAAGGCTGGCACCTGTGATAACACATTGCTCCCCAGCACCACACTGGAGGGTCAATATGCACTGTGAGTCCAATTAGGCTCCCACTGTTCCCAAAAGATACATGGTCACTACACAGCCACGACCCAAATGAAAATGGTTTGAGACATGTCCACGTTATAGGTGTTATCTCAAATACAAGGATTATTTAGTGTAGAATGTTAAAGTGGCAAAGGCAGCAGCTAATGTTCCAGCAGCAGCCCACGCATGAAAATAAGCCGAGGAGTAAAATCAAACATTAAAATCAGTGCGGCTTTGTGTTGCTCCTCACTGATCAAACATTCAGCCCTTCATCTTCCCATTTCTCCCCTTCACCACCCTCCACCCCCACCACCATCTCTCATGACAACAGATCACAACTGAGCTTACAAAGAGGTTGTTGACTTGAGGACAGTAGGCGTAACGTTACATGTAAAAAGCCACTGATGGGCCTTGTAACACCACAGGAATCCTTCAGAGTTTCCTCAAGCAAAAAGTTGCAATAAAGCAGTGAAATACGGTCGCATTGTCTGCCTCAAGCCCAAGGGTCATCACAACCCAAAGGTCACAGAGCATAATCTTTGCTTTTGATTCAGCATCTTGACCTCAAAATGACTCAGACATTCACAGGTTTTACTGTAAAGGAATAATAATAATAATCCTGGCATTTGATATAGCGGCTTATAATGTTTTCGAGACATCTCAAACCCCTTCACAGGATACACTGTAAAGTGAATTGACTCTATATTTTGTGGGTGAAACACGGCAGCCAATTGCGCACAGCAGCGTCCCCACAAACAGCCGTGGATTGAGTGACCAAATTGTTTTTTTGTTTGTAGTGGCTGTGTGTTTTGGAGGTGCACACAGCATCATTTTCACACCATAGTGTCCCACAAATAGCCATAAAGTGGATGAATGATTTTATCTGGTGGGGGTGGTTTGGGGGAGATTGTTGGCCTGGCCACTGGGAGAGAGAAACTTCCTTTTCTTTTCCAACAACGCCTTGGAATCTATCAACTTCAGCCTCAAAAGCCAAAGACATTTCAATCCTCAAATCCCTTTACAGTGAGACTGACAACTGTTTGTAGACTGTAAATTGTGAGACATTTCACACTACTCTCTCCCCCGCCCGCCCCTCCTCTCCCTCCCTCTCCTTTCTCTTAAACTTTGCACAAATCTGTCTGTCTGCGTTTCTCCGTTAACCTTGTTATTCTGAGGCTGAGTTGTGTGGTTTCCCATGGCGCCTGGTGTGAAACAGCAGGTGAAATGTCAAGCCATTCCCTGCGTCGTAAAAGTGGAGGAATGAGAGAATGGCATTTTACTCCAGCCCCACGAGCCTCTCAATGCAAAGCAAGTGCCGACATCACCAAATCCTTTCTGTGATCCCACAATGACAATCTCTCAGGCGCACATTCCGACCTTTAGCGGAGCGGGGAGCACGGGAGAGGTAAGGGAGCTAAAAGATAAATAATTGTCGGACATCAAATCAACATGTTTCGGAACTCCATTCCTCCCTCCCGCCCCCCACCGCACTCTGCCAAACCACTGAGCTTGGAACACTTGACTCTCTTTGTTTGTGTCTTACAGGATTGGTTTGGTAAATAATTCCCAAGACGGAACAGGTTAACGATGGGAACGACTTTTGTGCAAGTCTTTGCCTTGTTTCTCGGACTTTCTGCCACAGTTCTGCTGATTTTAGCCGATGTTACAGACTGCTGGAGGGTGAGCCTGTCATTCCCAGCTTGTGCGAAACCCAGTAACAGCAATCCGACTTTGTTTCTGAGTGTCAGCCTGGCTCAGCGCCGTATGGTCAGAGATGCTGTCCTTAAACCAAAGTCCTCTCTGCCTCCTCAGGCGGTCAACCATCCTCCGGGATTATATTGGTGTTTTTTTGTGGATTACTTTTGCACCTTCTGTCCCACCATCGCTATGCCGGGAAACTCTGGAACATTCTCCCTCAATCTCTTTGCCTTGACTCCTCTCTCCCCTTTTTCAAGCCCTGCCTGAAAACCTTCCTCTTCGACCGTGTTTACCCCACCTCTCCCGGCTCGGAGTCAGGCTCCACCATTGTTAAGCGCTCTCAGATGCTGCCCTGCGTGGCGGGTGCTGTATAAGTGCAAGTTCTTGTTAATTTTCCCTTTTTCTCTAGAAAGATGCAAAAGACGCGTTTTCCTCGGTGGGTCTGAGCTACAGGTGCCGAGGCCTGTGGAGCGAGTGTGTTTACGACATCACTGCTGATTACTGGACCTGCGACATCCACACCTCGTTTTTGGGTCATCTCCCCAGTAAGTAACCAGGACACTTCTCTTACCCAATCAGGGATCTGACGCACATTATAGTAGTTGTATACCTTAGTGGTTAGAGCACTCACTTCGCAAACGAGAGACCTGGGTTGTATTCCCGGCACGACGGATTGTTGACCAAGTTTCCTGACTCCACAAGCCTCTGTTTACCGAGCAGTGCGTAAGATCCCAGTAGTCGACTGGTGGATCTTGGGGTAATAATCCCTCTCCCCCAAAAAACATGTTTGTAGGATTCTGCTGTGCACAATTAGCTGCTGTGTTTCACCCACAAAATTCACAGTCAATCCACTTTACATTACATTCTGTGAAGCGCTTTGAGCTGTCTCAACAACGTGATAAGGTCAAGACTGAGGCGGATAGCTATTTGTTAGGTCAGGGTATTAGGGGATACAAGGCAATAGGAGTTGAGGTACAGATCAGCCATGATCTTATAGAATGGTGGAACAGTCTTGAGGGGCTGAATGGCCTCCTCCTGTTTCCAGGTGCTGTATCAAATGCAAGGATTATTATTATGATAATTATTATTATTAGCCTGTGAGCTACCAGTGACTGATGGCTTTGTGCTTCATTGTGCCAGGCGACCTGGTGATCACTCGTGCCCTTGTGATTGTGGCCAACGGGGCCTGTGTGGCGGCCGCATTGATCCTCGTCTGCGGGATGAAATGCACCAGGATTGTCGGAGACAGCGGAGCAGAGAAAAGCAGACTCACCCTGTGCGCTGGAGCCATGGCTCTCATCGGAGGTACGAGCGAGCGCTGAGGTCTACGTGCATCAAGGTTTAAATGCAAAGAGTATCAATCCTGACGTCAAAAAAAAGGCACCGTGTTTTCAAAACTGTCCCATTGGTGCTGTGAGCACACAGTCTAAGTTGATGCTCCAGTGCAGTTCACCCTTCCTGGTGTCCTCAATAATTCCTTCAAAAAATTTAAAATAATATTAAATTGGTCACTCAAACCACGACTGTTTGTGGGACGCTGCTGTGCGCAATTGGCTGCTGCGTTTTGTACTGTGTACAAAATACAGTCAATTCACTTTACAGTATATCCTGCGCTTTGAGAAAACATGATGAGGTGCGATATCAAATGTAAGGATTATTATTATTATTTTATTATCCACTTTCTCCGCTCTGGATTGTGACAGGCGGGCGGGCACCTTGCAGTGGTTCATTTCATTTTCCTTTGTGAAACAGGAATGTCCGGTGGCATCGGGGTGAGCTGGTACGCGGTGGAAACGGTCATTAAATACCGGTTTGAGGTATGAACCAACCAGAGGCAAACCTCAGCGTCGACTGTGATTCTGAAACCAATCCAAACTTTGGAAACATTCTAAGATGTCAATAGGGGAAAGCTTTCAAAGGGGAATTGGATAGGCACAAGAAAAAGAAACATTTGCAGGGCTATGGGGTAAGAGCGGGGGAGTGGGACTAGCTCTATCGGTACAGACACGATGGACTGAATGGCTGTAATATTTTGTGATTTCTTTGTACTGATTGGGTTTTGTTGGATGTTCTCATCTAATCACAGGTTGGCTTCAGGATTCCTGGCATCACATATGAGCTGGCGGTCTCCTTCTGGCTGGCGGGGGCAGGGGTTCTGTGCCTGTGGCTATGTGGGACATTACTTGCTACAACACTGTGCGTGGGGCTGGGGGCCCGAGGGACAGGGATCAAGGGCTCGCTCCTGGCTCCCAGGGACCCTGCCATGGGCCGGCTTCCGACACCCGGCCTGACAGACGGGAAGACCTACGTGTGACAGTGTAGCAGCACAAAACAACTCCAGCTCTGCTGTGTTCTCAGGGGGTCTTGAAGCACAGGGGAAAAAAGAGAAGGACGATTTTGCAGTGTAACTTAACAGGATCTCTTTCTCAACAAATCTGGAGCTGTGAGACCCTGACCGGGTCGGGGGGGACGTTTACTCCCACTCCAATGCCTTGTCAGAGTGGCATCCCTTCAAGTCAGAGTGACTTCCGATTTATGGGAAGGAGCCCGTCCGCTCAGGGTTCCGGTGAAACGAATCCGTTTCTTAATGAAGAAATGCCTTAGGAAATCATGCAAAGCATTACTGATCCTCACAGATATCCCAGAGCCCAAGGTTAGAGGAATTGCGTGCTGCAAGGCAGTGTGTTGTAAAGTTATCGAAGGACTCCCCTTTCATCATTCCTTCTCCATATGGACCAATCCAGGAGGCCAATATAGTCTGAGATGCTCGTGCGATGCGAAAGGCTGTGTATAAGTGCTCTCTATAACAATAATAACAACTTGCATTTATACAGCGTCTTCACATTGGGTAACGTCTGAGAAAACGTAGAAGCCGGGGAAATCATTCTTATTTTATGATTATTATTTTATTATTATTACACATGTACAAAACGATGAGGGGTTTTAATACGGTGAATAGGGAGAAGTTATCTTTACTGGGAGGAGAGTCAGTGACTGGTGGAACACGGATATAAGAAGAAGAACAAGAAGAGCGAGAGGAGAGATTAGGAGAAATATTTTCACACGGAGAGTTGTTGGGATGTGGAACACCCTGCCAGGTAAAGTGGTGAAGGCAGAGGCTAATGTGGGCTTCAAGGGGGAAGTAGACAGAAGAATAGAGGCTTGAAGGTGTCTAGGGGCTGGGCAGTGGGAATGAATGGAAACTTTGCTATGAGAGCCAGGGAAGAACAGTCTCCTTCTGCGCTGTAAAGAATCCCTCCAAAAACAACTGTTTGTGGGACGCTGCTGTGCGCAATTGGATGCCGTGTTTCGCACACAAAATACGCAGTCAATCCACTTTACAATATATTCTGTGAAGTTCTTTGAGATGGCTCAATGATGTGATAAGGTGCTGTAATCAAATGCATGTATTATTATTATCATTGTTATTAAATTTCTACAATTCAGCAGTGTGACTTATGAATCAATTAACTGTCTTATTATAAATGAAACCTAATTGCAATCCAAATAAAATCAGATCATCTCTTGAATAAGAAGCTAATATATTGTCCTCTTGACAGTATGTGCAATTCATTATCCCAGGTCAGAATACACCTTATTCCTTCCAGCTCAGCTACAACTAAAAGCGTTTTCGGTGGAACAGAGAAGACTGAGAGGCCTTCAGCACTGTTTAAGGCTTTGAGAGGATAAACAGCTGCTCAGTCGATTGCTGACAAGGGCACAGAGTCAGGATGTCAGTGGAACAGTCAAGCCCCCTTGACTGTTCCACTGACATCCTGACTCTGTGCCCTTAAAAGGTTAGATACCTTTTCATACAGAGAGTTCTACCATGGCATGCTTAGCCTGTAGTCCTGTAGCTCAGTGGTTAGAGCACTCGCTTTGCAAGTGAGAGACCTGAGTTCAATTCCAGGCAGAGGGCGAAACCTTGGGCAAGTTTCCTTACTCCACACAGAGCCTAATAATAATCCTCCAAAACCAAAAACAATAATAAATTGGTCATTTTCAATCTACGACTGTTTGTGGGACATTGCTGTGCGCAATTGGCTGCCGCGTTCGCCCACAAATATACAGTCAATTCATTTTACAGTGTGTTCTGTGAAGCGCTTTGGGACGTCCTCCCGACGTGAAAAGCGCTATATCAAATGCAAGGATTATTATTATTATTATTAAGTGGAGATTAAAGCTAAGACCATAAACAACATATTGAAGAAATTTGGATAGTATTTAAAGAGGAACAGTATAAAACTGTGGGGAAAGAGCAGGGAATGGGATTAGAGTAGAAAGCTCCAGTGGGGGCGTGAGCACCAGTATAGTCTTGATGGGCTGAATGGCCTACTATTGTGCTATAATTTCTATATTTCATGATAACAATTTGTGGTTATTGCCGATTATTGTGTTTGACTAAGTTCCTACGACCTTAATTAAAAATTAATGCATACTATGGGCTGACAGGAGAGTGAGAAAGCCTTTCTGTGCTGTCTTTAACATAAATATGTCGGGAAGCTGTTTAGACCCTGGAATCCATAGCGTACATCTTCCCAGTGTGTGTTCTTGTGTTCTGATGGAAAGATAGCTCATGTCTGTTGCTCCTTGGATCTGTTCAAGAGAACGCAGAGGAACACTCATTGTTTTGCTGCAGATTCCTTACAGTTCCGAAACGTTTAATATGTCAGGTCTGACACTCGCAGAAACTTGTCACCATGTGTCCAAACCGCACTCAGATGCCACTTACACTTCAGAATTTCCCTGGGTCTGGAATTGAACGGATCTCTCTCGATGGAACGTTCAATAGGCCATTTAACATCATGTGGATCATAACAAATTACCCCAATTCCCTCCTCTCACTGCTTTTCACACTGGTTTACCAGCCAGTGACCCCTCTCCTGATTTTTTCCCGATACTCCTGCATCCCCTCACTTCCTAAGTGTCTATCCATCTCCCAATTAAACATCTTTTTATATTTTGCCCCCTCCCCTCTAGAGGGAGAGAAGCAGTGCCCTTCACATTCTGTGCGCAATTGGCTTCCGTGTTTCGCCCACAAAATACCCATTCAATTTACTTCACATTCTATTCTCTGATGTGCTTTGAGTCGTCTCGAAGACGTGATAAGGCGCCATATCAAATGCGAGAAAGGAAGGAAGGACAACTTACCTCTGAAGAGGCAAATACAACAGGTGAGAAGGACAGAAGCCAGGAAACAGCCCGTGGAGCCCACCATTCCCAACCAACAGGACCAGCCAAACTCATAGTGAATTCCTAAGAAGATATTGTGAAACAGCAGTGTGACTCTCTCCACATACACATCTACTGCATACCACACTGAGCCCACCATCCCCAGCACTCCTGCAAAAGAAGAGAGCCACACAATCAGAGGAAAGTTGATGCACACATGAGGGCAAAGGGTATAACAATACTAATAATCATCATAATAATAACCTTTGCATTTGATACAGTGCCTTATGCCTTCAAGACGTCTCAAAACGTTTCACAGAATATACTGTAAAGTGACTGTATATTTTGTGGGCAATAAAATTTGATATCGCCCCTAGAACGTCACCACTTCACAGAGAATTGCTGTCAGGTGTAGTGACTAAGGGTCCTGGGAGGCTGCCCGCTGTGGAGGGTGCAATAAAATGCAAGTTGTTGTGTTAATTTTCTTTATAGGCAAACACAGCAACCAATTTCGACACAGCAATGTCCCACAAACAGCCCGGAGGTGAGTGACCAATTTTATTTGGGGCCAGGATACCGGGAGAGAAACTCCCTTCTCTTTTTCAAACAGTGTTGCGGGATCTTTAACGCCCACCTGAACAAGCGCAGACATAAAGTTTTGGGCTTTAAAATTTCTGACTCACAAGAGTGCTACAACCAACCCAGCTTACTGCACCTCCTGTGATCCAGGTGAGATTCTAACTCAGATAGGACCAAGGACCAATCTGTCAGGTCAGTCCATTCTGCCTTTCTTATCTGAGGCCCACAACAACAACTTTCACTTATACAGCGCCCTCCACGCAGGGTAGTGTCTCAGAGCGCTTAACAGTGGTGGAGCCTGGTGTTGTGGTGGTCTGCTCTGTCTGACTCTGAGCTGGGGGAAAGGGAGAGGTGGCCATAAGCACAGTAGAAGAGGAAAGTTTTCAGGCGGACTTGAAAGAGGGGGGGGGGGTAAGGTAGAGGGATAGAGGGAGAGTGTTCCAGAGTTTTGGGGGTTAGTGGCTGAAAGCACGACTTCCGATGGTGGAGCAGAGGGTGTGAGGGACAAGCAGGAGCCGGTGTCAGTCGAGCAGAGGTGCCGGGTGGTGGATTGGGGAGTGAGGAGGTTGGACAGGGAGGGAGATGCCAGGGAGTGAAGGGATTTGAACACGAGAGTGAGAGGATCTTGAAGTTGATGCATTCAGTGATGGGGCGCCAGTGGAGCCGGGGTCAGAGCTGGTGAGATGTGGGGACGGAGTTTGGTCGGGGTCAGTATGTGGGCGGCAGAGCTTTGAATGAGCTGATCTTGTGAATGGTGGAGCTGGGGAGACCGGCGAGGAGGGGGTTGGAGTAATCCAAGCGGGAGGTGACAACACACGCACGAGGGTTTCGGCTGCATTTGGGGTAAAGTATGGTCGGAGGCGGGCAATGTGGTGGAGGTGGAAGAAAGCTTGGTTGAAGAAGTTCTACTGCGGCCCATCTAATCTCCTCCTTGCAAAATCAACACTCTTTCCCCTTAGGATCCAGTTGTTAATGAATGTTCCAAAGTTGTTAATGAATGAATCCCAGCCTCCTGGCCTCAACCAGCAACAGCAATGAACAACAAATTGCAATTACGCAGCGTCTTTCACTTCGGGAGGATGTCCCAAGGCGCTGGACAGTCAAGGATTTGTACCCGAGCTGTGGGCTGAAGTCAAGAAGGATGGAGGGCAAGGGATGGAGGTGGGAAGATGACTAAAGGTGTGGTCAAAGAGGAGGGTCTTGAAACAGGCTTTGAAGGAGGCAAGGGAGGGAGCGAGGCAGAGGGACTCCAGGATGAAGTTCCAGAAGGTGAGGCAGAAAGGTTGAAGGTGTGACCACCCTTCCTGGTCACCCATGTTCAAGCTGCTAATGTAAAGAAATACTGTGTAAAGAAATACTTTGTGGTCTCTCTCGTGAAATTGCTCCTCACATTGCTGACCCTGTGCCCTCTTGTCCTGCTGCTTGGGTGTATAGAATCATAAAGCACAGAAGGAGGCCATTCGGCGCATCGTGTCTGTGCCGGCTCTTTTAAAAGAGCTTCCAAATAAATCTCACTCCCCCGCTCTCTCCACATAGCCCTGCAAACTTGTCCTCCCCAAATAATTATTTGCTTCTCTCCTAAAAGTTGTTATCGAATTGGCTTCCATCAGCCTTTCAGGCAATGCATTCCAGATCCCAACAACATGCTGTGAAAAAATTACTTTAAATCGGTGTCCTCAGGTTACCGATCCACCCGCCAGTGGGAATAGTTTCTCCTCGTTCACCCTATTGAATCCCCTCATAATTTTGAAAACTTCTATTAAGTCTCCTCTTAACCTTCTTTGCTCCAATAATCCCAGTTTCTCCGGCCTCTCCTGATAACTGAACGCCCTCATCCTGGTAAATCTCCTTTGCACCCTCTCCAATGCCTTGACATCCTTCCTAAAGTGTGGGGCCCAGAACTGAACGCAGTCTCGAGCTGAGGCCTAACCAATGTTTTATATAAAGGTTCATCATAACTTCATGACTTTTGTATTCTATGCCCCTATTTATAAAGCCCAGTATCCCGGACGCTTTTTTAACAGCTTTATCTCCCTGTCCGGCCACCTTCAAAGATTTACTGATATGAACCCCAGGTCTCTCTGTTCCTTCACCCCCTTTAAGATTGTACCATCGGCTTATATAGATATCTAACAGTATTGTTCTGTGTTTACTTTCTCAATCCCATTTACCATTTTAGACACTTTTCCAGGGGTAATAATCCCTTAAAAAAATAAAAATAATAATAATAATTTGGTCACTCAATCAATGACTGTTTGTGGGACTCTGCAGTGCGCAATTGGCTGCCGCATTTTGCCCACAATGCATGGAGTCTCTATGTTTTGCAGTAAATTCTGTGAAGAACTTTGAGACGTCTTGAAGATGTGATAAGGCCCTGTATAAAATGCAAAAAATATTATTATTATCTCTAAAGTCTCCTTTGAAGGCTAAAGAGCCCTGTCTTACCTCGTTGTTCCTCACAGCTCATCCATCTAACACTGGGGATCATTCTTGTTGATCTCCTCTGGATTAATTCTCTGTGCCCTTATAATCACGGGCACCAGAACTTTCCTAACAATGAGGGACAAACCTCCTCGTACTTCCTTGGAGCCATGTTAGGAGAGAACATCAGCTTGTTCCTGGGACAGGACTTACCCCCCATTCCGAGGATGAACCCGGCCACGTAACAGATCCTCAGCTTAACCTGAGGTTCGTCTTTCAGGATCTTCACACATTCCAAACCCAGGATCAGGACAATCAACCCGAAGCCCGTCAGGATATCAGAGGTGATCATCAGAGCACGTGTCAGCACGATCTTAACTGCAGAGGGGAAGACACCGGGCCGAAAATAGTCACCACATCAACCCAAATTGGTTTTGGTCACTCTCCCACCTCTTTCTGCCCTCCATCCCTCTTGATCCCAACCCCCAGTTCGGGTCCAAATCCGTGACTGCCCAGCGCCTTGGGACGTCCTCCTGATATGAAAGTGGCCATTTAAAAATGTCATTTGTTGTTCATTGTTGTTGGACGTTAATAATCCTATGACACGACTCAAAAAGAGAAGGGAGTTTCTCCCACTTGATAACAAGAGAGCATTTGTCTCTGGGTCAGAAGGTTGTGGTCAGCTCCCCCGGGACTTGGCATTGGCTGCCGAGTTTTGTTCACAAAATATACAGTGAATCTGCTTTACAATATGTTTTGTGAAGCGCTTTGAAACATCTCAAAGACGTGATAAGGCGCCATATTAAATGCAAGGATTATTATATTGAATCATTCTGAATGTAATATGTTTAATTAAATATTTGCCTTAGTTTTGATATATGCTTGCTTGAAGATATGAGTATGTTCAAACAACCGATTCCTATACATTATTCAATCCATGACTGTTTGTGTGACGCTGCTGTGCGCAATTGGTCCCCACGTTTCCCCACAAATATACAGTCAATTCACTTTACAATATATTCTGTGAAGCGCTTTGAGACGTTGAGAAGACGTGAAAAACGCTGTATCAAATGCAAGGATCATTATTATTATTATTGGCAGAAGTTCATCCTTTGGGTGAGACGTTAAACTGACCTAGCTTGCCAATTTTCGGACGGACTTTAAAGATTCCACAACAGTATTTATTTTAAAAAAAGGAAATTGTAAGAATTTTGCGGTTCACTGTTAATTTGGAAACTGGTTTCTTCAACTGTTGACTTTGGGAGTGAACACCATTTGATGCAGCGTCTTACACTTCAGGAGGACCTCTCAAAGCGCTTTACAGGATTTTACTGCGAAGTGTAGTCACTGTGTATTTTGTAGTTAAAGGCAGTTAGGGTCAAAGTTTTTGCCAGTGATAATTATCATATTAAGTGTCGCACTCTATGTCTGCATTTTACAGGAAACAAATGAGTGTAATAATTCTTTCAATAAAAAAGAATACTATTAATTGGTCACTCAATCCACGACTGTTTGTGGGATGCTGCTGTGCAATTGGCTGCCAATTCGCTCACAAAATGTACAGTCAATTCCCTTTACAGTCTATTGGGACGTCCTCCCGACGTGAAAGGCGCTCTATAAATGGAATCTTGTTGTTGTTGTTGTATTGTGTGAAGCACTTTGAGATGTTTCAAACATATGATGAGGCGCAGTATCAAATACCAGATTATTGTTATTATTAATGCTGCCTGGGAACAGAGGCTTACGCACGCTCAGTGATGACACGGTGTACTCACATGGATGTTCGGCTAATATGGAGTCATATTGGTCACAAGTCCTGATCCCATCCACGTTATTGGTAACACATTCCCACCACAGACCCCGGCACTTCTGACTGACCTGCCGATAACACACTGAATGTTTAGAGTGTATCTTCATGCTGAAACGAGATTCACACCCATTATTGGCGAGTGTCAGCCGGGCTCAACAAGTAAGGAGTCAAAGACAAAGACTCACCTCTAAACTGTCATCTGAGTTCACCATCCAGCAATCTGTCCAGGTCGCTACTATGAGGAAGAGAGTAGAGAGCAGAGCCAGGCTGAAGGCTAGGATTTGGACCATAAGGATCATTGCTGAGCAGGAGTCAGGACCGTTGTAAACCAACAGCAACCAACCAACACCACGAACCAACCCAAATTAAATCAAACCTCATTAACAGCCGACAAATCCCTTTGAAGATGCTGGCCACAAATTATTCTTCAGAGCACAATAAACATCGATGGAATAAGGGCTAATGTTAAATATTTGGATTCCCTCTTCTCTTGGTATTCAGGAAACATTATAATTAAGTGACATGAGATTTTATTGTGTAATCAATTGCCAAAAACACTAATTAATTTGTTATACCCCCTCTGTTGCAGTCAGAGACCCGTAAAATGTAATGTAGTTCCGGAAATATTGGCTTGGCAGCTGGTAAACGCTGGATTTAATCCTTCCCCCCCATCATCATCCCTTCCCTCCTGTGCGTCACAAAAACACTCACAAAAAACAAAGTAAAAATAAACTTCAAATTGTCAATTGCACAGGGCGAGGTTAACGAGTTCACAAGTTTCCCGCTAACGTTTGAGGATTTCAAGGGGTGTTTGATGCACCCGAAGCAGAGTCTTAAATTCAACAACAACTTGCATTTATATTGCGTCCCTCGCGCAGGATAGCGTCCCAGAGCACTTGACAGTGGGAGGGAAGGGGGTGGGGGGGGTTAGTCACTGATCGAAGAGGAAGTTCTTCTGTACAACGTAATCTGTGGTGAGTTTTAATATCTTTGTTTAGAAATCTCCAAAATTTCCCTTTCTATATCTTTTAACAAAATGCCTTCAGATCTCTGCTGTTCAGCTGTTGGTGTTTCTTGGTTTTGTTTCTGACGCTCACCTTCTGTGATAGTTTTAAACAATGTATATGTTTCATAATCCCAATTATCTTTACATTTCATCTACGTTTATTTTTTGTCAAACTTTAAATGGTGCTTTGATAGTGACTAGAATAAAAACAGATTTATACCAGATTTTGACGGACAGTTTTGTTCTGTCTCTAACCCGTGCTGTTGCTGACCTGGGAGTGTGGGCACAGTGTAGAGGGAGCTTTGCTCTATATTCAGCCACTGCACCCCAAAACTATGGAACTCTCCCTCAATCCCTCCAACTCGCCTCCTTCACCATCTTCAGATTGCACCTGAAGACCTTCCTCTTCGATCTTCCTCTTCGACCGTGCCTACGGTCACCACCCCCCTCCCCCCCATCTCGGTGCCGTGCTGAGACGTTAGCTTGCGTGAATGGTGCTGTATAAATGCAAGTTGTTGTTGTAGTATGTACACTGAGGTATACGAGGCTCTGGCATGGATTTCCTCTCCCTCCCCCTGACCCCATCCCCTCACATGAATGTGAATTAAACAATTCAAAAGGGGATGAAAGTCCAAGAAAAAGCCAGAAAATACAGATCGAGTCCCTATCAATTTGTAGGTGAAGGTGACAGGCCATTTTCATACAGCAATGTCCCACAAACAGCCATGAAGCGAGTGACCAGTTGTACGTCGGGGAATGTTGGCCAAGACACCGGGAGAGAGAAATTCCCTTCTCTTTCGACTAGATCTTTAACGCCCCCCTAACAGGCACAGCTAGGACTTCAATGAAGGTCTCATTTCTCCGCGCTCCCTCAGCACTGCGCTGGAGTGTTACTGTCTGTCTGCCAGACAGCAATGATTTGTTGATCAGTTGTGATTTTGGAAAGTGGTGGGATAGGCTTGAGGGACTGAATAGCTTCTTCCTGCTGCTATATTCCTATCAAGGTCAGGAATGAGCCTGAGTTTTCTGCAGTTTACATGTAAAGGCAGAAGCCGTCCCCATCACCTTCTCCTCACCTCTTCTCTATCAATCTTTAAATGCGATCTGATCACCTCCATCTTCGATTGTGCCTATGGTCACTTACCTCTGTCCCCCCCTCCCCTCCCCACATCATCCCGTGTTTGTATTTGCTCCAAGATGTTATTTTACATGATGGGTGTTATATAAATTCCAGTTTTTGTTGGTGGTGGTGTCAGCTTAGCGTGCCCAGGAGCTCAAAGTTTCTGATGTCCTCGAGTACCCAGAGAAATATTTTTTTACATTTATTAAAAGAAAACGTTCCTTCTCTCCAGGTTCCGGTAAATAGCGCGAGTTCACAACAGACAGTGTACAGAAATATTACAATGGGCAGCACACACGGATGATGAATCTACACAGTATCTCTAGGCACTTGCATTATTATAATAATAATCCTTGCATTTGATACAGTGCCTTATCATGTCTTCGAGATGCCTCAAAGCGCTTCACAACCCTAACCCTAACACTGTAAAGTGAATTGACTGGATATTTTGTGGGTGAACCGCAGCAGCCAATTGCGCACAGCAACGTCTTACAAAAACAGTCGTGGATTGAGTGACCAAATTATTATTTTTATTTATTTTGAAAAGATTACCCCGAAAAGCGATCCACCAATCGACTAACAACCAGGTTCCTACTTACTGCTAGGTAAACAGAGGCGTGTGGAGTAAGGAAACTTGTCCAAAGTTTCTCCATGCTGGGAATTGATCCCAGTTCCTCTCGCTTGCGAGACGGGTGCTCTAATCTCTAAGATACAGGACTCCACATATAAGGAGGAGGGGATATAAGGACAATGCTAAGTTTAGTTTAGGTCACGTCTACACACCTTACTCGGAGCTAAGTACACGTTTAATGAGCACATAGAATACATTGATGTTTCACGGTTGCTAATGTGAAGAAAGTCCATTGACTTTCTCATTAGAGGATAGAGAATAAACTCTATTGCTTCTTTGGAGATTGCAAACTCCTCTGGTTGATGCTGACCTACAAATACTGCTCCCCATTGGCAGTCATCGACTTTTTAAAGGTGGTTCTGAAATGTGAAAGAAAAACTTGTCAGTGAGAAACATCAATCATAGCTCGTGCCCCCCCACTGAAGCTCTCTACTCTAACCTCATTCCCTACTCTCTCCCCATCGTGTCTGTGCTGGTGCTCACTCCCCTACTGGAGCTCTCTACTCTAATCCCACTCACCTGTTCTTTCCAAGTATCCTTTAATATTATTTTTCTCAAGCAATTATCCAGTTCCCTATTAAATGATTTTTACGGCAGTTGAACAGGTATTTGTGGTCAGATATTCCACATTGCATTGCATCAAAACAACTTCTATTATTCTACAAATCTTGTTTGGTTTATTTTGTTTTCTTCCCCTTTTTGCATTTGGTGCACATCCTGTTGTTACAGACTATCTGATCAATGGAAATAACCTCTCACGTTTTACCCCATCTAAAGCATACATTTTGCCCACCAAATATACAGTCAATTGACTTTACATCCCCCACCCTACCTACCCTGCCCATCCCACCATCAGTTGTCAGGGCTTCAGCCTCTTTGTCGCCACTCTCTAGAACTCCATCCCTGAATCCCTTGCCTCCTTCAACATTCATCTCAAGTGCTACCTCTTTGGTCATTTTCCCATCGGCACCTCCAACATCGTAGGCCTCCCCCAGCACTGCGCTGGAGTATCAGCCTGGACTGTGCAACTCAAAGACCTGATGTGGGGATTGAACCCACAACCTTTTGCCTCAGAGGTGAGAGAGCTACCAACTGTGCTAAATGTTGCACAACCTGTTAAGGAGGAAACTCACCTGCAGGAAAGAGACAATGAGGATGGCCTCAGACATCCAGAGGCCTTGACAAGACGGCATTGACATTCAGCTTAAATGGACCACTACATGCGCCCAACCTTCCTAACGCTTTCCTCTACAAGCTACGGATCATCCAGAACTCTGCAGCTTGTGTCCTCTCCTTCAGTAGTCTCCATGACCCCATCACCCCCACCCTCATCCGGCTCCACTGGCTACCCATCCCCCAGAGGATCAAGTTCAAGATCCTTGTGCTCGCTTTCAAAGCCCTCCACGTTCTCGAGACTCGCTACTTCTGTGACCTTCTAATAGGCTACCAAACTGCCTGCTCCCTCCATTCAGCAGGCACTGACCTTCTCCATGTTCCCCCGCCCTATCATTGGCAATTGGGCCTTCGGTCACCTTCCCACCTGAGCACCCCTTTTGAATCCCGTCTTCAGCACCCATGCAAACTCTCAACAAGAACAACAAATTGCATTTATAAAGCACCTTTCGTGTCCAGAGCCTTGGGACATCCGCTGGACACGAAAGGTGCTTTATAAATGCAATTTGTTGTTCTTCTTGTTGTAACAGAAGCATGAAGTTCGATAGATCATCTGTGTATCTTTTTTAATGTCTAAAGATTTTTTTTGTGGTATTTTGCAAAGTATGGGAAATGTGAACAGATTTACTATATATATATAATTAAACATATATATATATGAGGCTTCTAGCCTCATATTGAACACTGAACATCACCAAGAAATGGCTTTAAAAGTGACGATAGATAAAGTTTACTGTTCACGTACTCTCTGACTGTGGAGGGCTGAGATGATCTGTAGTACATCTGGCCTCTTTGCTCCTCCTTGGGGCATGAACAGCACAGGAACGACCCCCCCAATGAGGTAAGAAGTGCTGCCGCCCACCCCACAAACAGGGCTGAACCAAACTCATACCTGTGGATGGTGTTGGGGGGGGGGGGAAGAGGAAAGCAAGAGGTCAAAGTTCATAAAATCAACAGATCCATATGTGAGATCAAGTCCCCATAATTCACAACATAATAAACCTTGCATTTGATACAGCGCCTTATCATATTGCTGAGAAGTTCCATTGTGAAGAGATTATTACCCCCGGAAAAGCGATCCGCTAATCGACTAACAACCGGGTTCCTACTTACTGCTCTGTAAAAAGAGTAAGGAATCTTGCCTAATGTTTCGCTCAGATGGAAATTGATTCCAGTCCTTTCGTTTGAAGGGCGAGTGCTCTAACCACTGAGATACAGGACTCCACGTGTGTTTGGATGTTAAATTGGCTCTGGCCCACGGCTATCCCACGTCAGGGAAGGTGAAACCAGCCAGGCTTCCCGGTCCTGGACCCTTTATGGCACCCTCTACTGGCTGAGCGCATATGTGGCATATGTGTCAGGCTCCTCTGTGCCGGAGTTATACAGTTGAATAACCTGCCAACAGCCACTGGTCAAGGCTCCGCACATGAATAATGCCCGGGCAGGCAGGCGGAGGGGGAGGGAGGTGTGCACTGGAGGGCAACCAGCGCCCATGAAGCTGCAGCCCAAGGGGGTGTGCGGCCAGATCAGGAACAGAGAGGCGGATGGCAGCGAGGGAGATGATTTGAGAAAATAACCGGACACACTAAATTTAAAAAAATGTAAAATAAAAAAAAGCAAAAAATCTGGAAGGAATTTCAACTTGTGGGATGAGGCAGCGACAAGAGAGATGTTAGCCAGCGGTGAGGGATTAAAGGCGAGTTCAGAGATACCTGGCGTTGATGGGGGTAAAGGGATCGAAGAAGTCATTGGTGATTTTGGCCGCGTACCAGGAAACGGCCACCAGAGTGCAGAATCCTGTGGAGATACACGAGGCGGGGAGGTCAGGGCTCCGTTTGACCTTCAATCACAAGATCACAACACAGGCTCACAAGGAGAGGTCTCTTCAGCCCACTTGCTCCCACAATCCCAAACCGTACCATCCCATCCTCCCTATTACAGCATCAAGCTGTTTTTTAACTGAGGCCCTTCTCTTTTCAGATAGTCACCGGATCTTAAACATCCTCCTAAACAGGCAGACTTCAACATAACATCTCATCTGAAGGATGGCACCTGTGACCATCCTTCCCCCCAGCCCCCTGCCCCCCAGCATCGCACTGGAGTGTCAGCCTAGACTGAGGGATCAAGTCCCAATGCAGGGCTCGAACCCATGACCTTCCCACCCAGGGGCGAGAGCGTCAGTGACTGAGCCACAGACTGACACTACACATTGCTACAACATGTTGACTGGTCACATCTCAAGCAGCAGAATCTATAACCGGGGGTCACAGTCTGAAAATTAAGGGTCAGCCTTTTAGAACAGAGTTGAGGGAACATTTCTACACTCAGAGAGTAGTGAATTTATGGGATTCACTCCCCCAGAAGGCTGTAGACGCTCAGTTCTTGAACATCTTCAAGGCTGAGACTGATAGATTTTTAAAAAAATAGAGGGATTAGGGGATATGGGGACAGGGCAGGTAATTAGAGTTAGGTCTGAAGATCAGCCATGATCTTATCAAATGGCGGGGCACAGGCTTCAGGGGCCGACTGGCCGACTCCTGCTCCTAATTCTTATGTTCTAGAAGAGATCTGATATTTAACGTGGCCTTATTAAAAACAAGACAAAATACTTACCAGCGCTAAGGAACAGAATGCCTCCCGCCACCGCGATACGGCTCTTGATGACTGGAGCGTTGTCTCCCACTTTGGTACATTTCATCCCCACCACACTGACAATCACAGCAAGGAATCCCAGGACAATAGCCAGGACCATCAGAGCTCTGGATGCCTGTATGTGCGCTAAACACAAAACACTCTGAATAACTCCTGTGTTCATAATATTATTTTTTACATTTGATGTAGCGCCTTATCGCATCGTTAAGACATCTCAAAGCGCTTCACTCTAAAGTGAGGTGAATTTTATAGGCGAATCATAGCAACTAGTTGCTCACAGCAATGTCCCATGGGGTGAGTGACCCATTTTTAAAAAATATCTGTTGGTGTTGTTGGCCAGAACACAGGGATGAAGAAATTCCCTTCTCTTTTCGAATAGAAGCCACAGGATCTTTAACGACCACCTGAACGGGCGCAGACAGGATCTCGGTTTAACGTTTTAATGAGTGAGTGAGTTAGTGAGTTAGTGAGCAGAGAAACGCTGTCCTCTTTGCCATGAGTGCGGCAAGCTTTGTCATACACCCCCAACAGGACCTCAATTTACAGTTCATCTTGAGGACATCACGCCAACCACGCAGCACTCCTCTGAACACTGCATGGGAGAGTTACAGCTCCTCAACAACCCAAACCCCAAAACACCCTCAAACACTTTAGAGTAATATCTGTCAAGCACAGTGACTCCAGCCGAATGCTGTGGCTATTTTATCACACAACATATCTGCACAAACAGCCAATGCAGTGTATGGAGGATGTTTTGATCTGCACAAAAAACGCTGGAAAAAAATCAGCAGAATAAACTTCTCAATCAGAAGAGAGAAACTCTGAACAGTATTAACATTAGCAGGTGCTGAGTACCAGATAATAATAATAATAATTCTTGCATTTGATACAGAGCCTCATCACATTGTCAACAACACCAACATCAAAATGACATTTATAGAGCCCTTTTCACGTCGGGAGGACGTCCCAAAGTGCTGAACAGTCAGGTGTCGGGCCTGAGCATGGGGGAGGGATGGTGTAGGGGTGAGGGAAGGCAGAGAGGTGGGAGGGAGACCAAAGGCACGATCGAAGAGAAGGGTCTTGAGACCGGCCTTGAAGGAGGCGAGGGAGGAAGTGAGGTGAAGCGATCGTGGGATGGAGGTCCAGTCAATTTGCGCACAGAAACGTCCCCCAAACAACCATGAAGTGAATAAACGATTGTTGGCAGGACACCAGGAGAGTCGGTCCAGTCTATAAGGGTTCCAGATCAAAATGGGGCTTGAACACACGAGCCAACTCAGAAGTGAGAGCTCTATACAAAACTTAACGAGTTCACTCAAAATGGATCAATATTATACTTGATATCGGTGATTATTTATCAGATCACTTAATCTAATTTGATATCCTGGAGTCCTTACCCCACCCCATATGCCCACAAAATATACAGTCAATATGCTTTCCTGTGAAGACGTGATAAGGCATTTTATCAAATGCGAGGATTATTATTACTATATGCATTTTAATTTTCTTTCGCGTAAAATTAGCCAAAACACCAGTTTGTCCATTTTGTGCGTTATTCCTCCCCCAAAATAAACAACAACTTATCCATTGCACGTGGAATAAAAGGGAGTTTTGTTGTTGTTGTGTCAGTCTCACCCCCACCACTCGGCAGGTCAGAACCACAATATTGATGATAATTATAGTAGAAATAATCTCCCCCCCACCCCACCCCCCAAAATAATAATAATTTACTTTATGAAACAAAAACAAGGAACGGTTTGAATCACTGATTTTTTTTAAAAAAAGAAAATGCCACTTGGGATGTTTAAAATCAATCAAAAATTAGTTAATTATACAATAAAATGTTGTAAATATAACATATAGACTATTATACATAATAATGTTTTATATTATAATGTGATCAGTGTGAGTTAGTCAGTGCAGTGCTCAGAGTTTCTCTCTGTTCTATAACAGAGAAGTTTATTCTGTTGATTTTCCTGTTTACTTTACTGAACGGTTCTCCAGATTTGGCTAATTTTACGCAAAAAGAAATTGAAATGAATAATGTGTGTGTGTGGGGGGAGGGGGGGGGGAGGGGGGAGCATCCATCACCCCATCTACACACACACACACACCCCACACACACACACACACCCACACACACAACCCACACACACCCACACACACACACACACACACACACCCACATACACCCCCCACACACACACCCACACACACACACACCCCACACACACCCACACACACACCCCACACACACACCCACACCCCACACACACACCCACATACACACACACACACACCCCACACACACCCACACACCCCCCCACACACACACACACCCACACACACACCCACATACACACACACACACACCCACACACACACCCACACACACACCCCCACACACACACACACATCCCCACACACCCCCCCCCTACACCCCCACACCCCCACACACCCCCCCCCACACACACACACCCACATACACACACACACCCACACACACACACACCCCCACACACACACCACATACACACACACACACACCCCACACACACACCCACACACACCCACACCACACACACACCCACACACACACACCACACCCCACCCACACACACCCACACCCACACACCACACACACACACACCCACATACACACACACACACACCCACACACACAACTCACACACCCACACCCCCCCCACACACACACACACCCACACACACACCCACATACACACACACACACACCCACACACACACCCACACACACCCACACACACACACACACACCCACACACACCCACACACACACATCCACACCCACACACACACAAACACACCCACATACACACACACACACACCCGCACACACCCCTACACACACACACACACCCACTCACACACACACCCCCACACACACCACATACACACACACACCCCCCCCCCCCCCACACACACACAGCCCACACACACACACCCCCCCCCCCCCCCCCCGCCTTTACTCACAGTCCAGAGATAAGAGTGAGTCGTACAGTTTGCACTGCACTTGTCCGGTGCTCTGGGAAGCGCAGGACATCCACAGTCCCTCATACAGAGCCACAGCGGTGATGATCGCGTCTCCGGCGTAAGAGGATTGTTTCCACTGCGGCTGCGCAGTGCTCGAGATGATGGCCATCCACCCCCCGACCCCCAGCACATACCCCACCAGCTGAGACCCCCAGCCCGCCATGCCCTGCCCTGCCCTGCCCTGCCCTGCCCCCCCTGCCCAGCCCTGCCCTGCCCAGCCCTGCCCACCACTGCCCTGCCCACCACTGCCCTGCCCCCCCTGCCCAGCCCTGCCCTGCCCCCCTGCCCAGCCCTGCCCTGCCCAGCCCTGCCCACCACTGCCCTGCCCACCACTGCCCTGCCCCCCTGCCCAGCCCTGCCCTGCCCCCCTGCCCAGCCCTGCCCTGCCCTGCCCCCCCTGCCCTGCCCACCACTGCCCTGCCCACCACTGCCCTGCCCAGCCCTGCCCTGCCCACCACTGCCCTGCCCCCTGCCCTGCCCTGCCCCCTGCCCTGCCCTGCCCTGCCCCCCCTGCCCCCCCTGCCCCCCTGCCCTGCCCCCCTGCCCTGCCCTGCCCTGCCCCCCTGCCCACCACTGCCCTGCCCTGCCCTGCCCAGCCCTGCCCTGCCCACCACTGCCCTGCCCTGCCCTGCCCAGCCCAGCCCTGCCCAGCCCAGCCCTGCCCACCACTGCCCTGCCCACCACTGCCCTGCCCAGCCCTGCCCCCCCTGCCCTGCCCACCACTGCCCTGCCCTGCCCACCCCCCTCCTCACACACACACACACTCACACCCCCCCACACTCACACCCCCACCCCTCACCTCACACTCAAACACACACACCCCCACCCCCTCACTCACACAGGCACACACACCCCTCACACTCACTCACACACACTCACACACCCCCACCCCTCACACGCACACTCAGAGACACACACACTCACTCACAGACACCCTCACACACACAGGCGCACTCAGACTCTCACACACACTCACTCACACACTCCCTGTCCCTTCCTCAGACACACTCCCTGTCCCTCCCACACACTCACACACACACACAGAAACACTCACCTACAGACACACTCACACACTCCCTGTCCCTCCCTCAGAAACACACACATACAGTCCTCCCCAAACACACAAACTCACCCTCAGACACACACACTCACACTGACACAACCTCTCCAGACACTCTAACACACTCACACACCTTCACACACACTGACACTCACTCTCCCCCCCACACACACACTGACACTGACACCCCCCCACACACACACACTGACACTCACCCCCCCCCCCACACACACACACACTGACACCCCCCACACACACACACTGACACTCTCCCCCCCCCACACACACACTGACACTCACCCCCCCCCACACACACACTGACATCCCCCACACACACACACTGACATCCCCCCCCCCACACACCCTGACACTCACCCCCCCCCCACACACACACTGACACCCCCCCCCACACACACACTGACACTCCCCCCCCCCCACACACACACTGACACCCCCCACACACACACACTGACACTCTCCCCCCCCCACACACACACTGACACTAACCCCCCCCCCACACACACACACACTGACACCCCCCCACACACACACACTGACACTCTCCCCCCCCCCACACACACACTGACACTCACCCCCCCCACACACACTGACACTGACACCCCCCCACACACACACAGACACAACCTCCCCCCAGACGCACACACACAGCCTCAGACACGTTCACACACCCACAGCTTCTCTGTAACACACTCCCTGTCCTCTCCCTCTCTCACACACACTCATATACACCACTCACACACAGCGCTTCTCCTCGTCCCTCAGTCCAGTTCCTCTCCACGAAAGTCAGTGTTGAGGTCCGGCCCCTCATGTGCAGCTCTGTGCCTCTCTCTCTGCCTCAGGACCCGACAGGGCAGTGACTGGGGGGAGACTGGTGAGAGTTTGGCTGTGTGGAGCTAATCTGTTGATTGATTCCTACCCCAGAGAGAGCCAAACCAAAGCAACTTCATTCTCACCCACCACAGCCCTCGCACATCTGCAGCAGAGAACCACTGAGATCTGGTGATTGACTCCTTATGACTTGCAGGAACACTCCCTCTCTCTGCCCTGATGGCAACTAGTAACCAAAGTGGGATTTCCACCATCTCAGCTGAACAGTTTTACCCTGTGAAGCGCTTTGAGATGTCTACAAGACGTAATGAGGCGCTACATCAAATGCAAGGATTATTATTATTATTTTATTACCAGTGCCTCAACTATTGGTTGCAAGGCTCCCTTGTCCATGTTATGCTGGGATCTCTTGTGATGATGGAGGAGCCCAGGTTCCCTACACACCCAGCATTGCATGTTTGGAGATGCCATCCTTTGAGTGAGGCATTAAACCAAGGTTCCATTTTTCCTGTTCAGGGGTTTAAAGATCCCAGAGCACTATTGGAAAAGAGAAGGGGGTTTCTCTCTCTCTTTCTCCTGGTGCCCTGGACAACAATCCACCAGAAAAATTGGTCACCCACTTCATAGCGTTTGTAGGATTTTACTGTACGCCAGTGGCTGCTGTGTTCATCTGCAAATTATACAGAAATTTACATGAATCACTCTTTTACACTATATCCTGTGAAATGCTTTGCGATGTCTTACCGACATGAAAGGTGTTGGTTAAGTGTAATTATATGTTATTGTTATTATAAGTTATATTATTGTTGTTGTTCCCCATTTTGATATAACGTACACAGCGTTTTCTCGTATCATTGTCTACGTGTGTGTTCAGTTGAGGTTGGCCATGGGCTTGGAACGTTGCCAAATTCCCTTTAAGGGATCACAGGCACATTATTTCCTGCAGTAATGTCAGCTATTAATGCTCACAATGAGGCGAAACTACAATGATAATGGGGGAAATCGCAACCCTCCCGGGGATGAAATTACTAAATGAGTAATTAATGTCAGTGATCACCATCAGCTCATTTCATTTCGATCTCTTCAAACCTCCAGATTAATTGGTCATTCGCCACACGGCTGTTTGTGGAATCTTCTTGTGTGTAAACGGACCACTGTGATTGGTACCTACAAATAACAGTCACTACACTTGACAGTAATTACCTCACCAATTTGGCCACTCCTCTCACACTGTGGGCATCTTGTTTCACATCCCTCTCCCTCACTATCCCACAATCGGAGGGTGGGTTTTCAGCCATTTAGTCCCCGCTCTCCAGAACTCAATCTGACTTACACAGTGGCAATAAATTCTCCCTACGTACCTCACCAATTTACCTTTACCCTTAATTACTCTATTTAGCACAATGTTTTGTGGAGCAAAAACACCAGGACTACTTGGGCTGAATGGCCTGTTTCCTTGCTGTACAATCTATGTAAACCTCTGTCAGATCTGCTCTCCACCTCCCTGTTGTGTGGGAAGCCAGGGGAAGACCTGAGAGAACACTGAGAGCACCACACATTTGCCCGTGAATGTTTTTACGCCACAAAACTGAAATTGTACTGAAATGTTTGGCATCTCAAGGAAACTGTAGTTTGGCTTAATATAATAGTAATAAGAATTCTTGTATTTGATACAGCATCTTATCACGTCCTTGAGATGTCTCAAGGAGCTTCACATAATATACTGTAAAGTGAATTGACTGTACATTTTGTGGGTGAAACGCGGCAGCCAATTGCACAGCAGTGTCCCCAAAAACAGTCATGGATTGAGTGACCAAATTATTATTATTTAAGGGATTATTACCCCTGGAAAAGCAATCAGCCAATCGACTAACAACCGCTAGGTCAATACAGTATATTCTGTGAATCGCTTTGGGACGTCTCGATGTTGTGATAAGGCACTATATAAAAGGCAATGATTATTAATCATTAACATCTTCATTGTCCCTTCCTTCTGCTCGCTCTCTATTGTAACTGTTAAGCTGAGACGTTAGTCATGTGCAAGAGGTACAATGTAAATTGCTCTACCTGGAGTACCTACCTCCTGGGGAGGGTTTCATAACTCGCTGCTGGACCTGTTAATAATTTAATGCTTCGCTCAAGGTTATGCAACATGAACAGGTTAATACCACAAGCGTACCAGCCACCCCAAAGGTTAATATATGGAAATAAGCGTCTCTTAAACTGTACATTACCCACTAATGGTAATAATGAATGTTCCCGCAAGTGTTTCACTGCAATAAAAACAATCGTCTCAGAGGCTGACGAACTCGGTCGCCCCAGTGTGCTCTCACCAGCTTCTTCCCCGTGACGGCATTTAAAGGAGGCATTTGCTATTGCCTAAGTGAAAATAGAGGGTACAGAGGACAGAACAGGGGAATGGGGAATGCACAAATACGATGGGGAGAGAGCAGGGAATGGGGTTAGAGTAGAGAACTCCAGTGGGGGAATGAGCACCAACACAGACACAATGGCCTCCTCCTGTGCTGTAAATGTTCTATAATACTCCAAATCTCCTTTTTCTTACCAACCTCTCTTATTCCTTCCAAAATCTCCCTGTAGTTCCCTCCCCACCCACTCCTCCCCCTCCACTTTCTCTCCTCCTCTGCCTCTCCCACCCTTTCCCTTCCTCCCTCTCCTACTCCCCTTCCTCGCTGCTGATGCAGCCACTCAGTTCTTGTTGTTGTTGCTCTCTGGAGCGAGAGGATTTCCTGCTGAGCTTTATGTTATCTGGGTAACGGACGTGAACTCTGAACTGCTGCCCATAAATGTACTTTATCGGGCAAAATGCAACACCACAAGTAAGAAATGAGTGTAAAGCAGCTTAAGTTTTGAATTAGTCCCTCACTCCATCAGAACGCTGTCTACTCAACCCAGCAACTTATTAGTGGCATTAACTATGTGTTTAAGCACTTTGAAAGGTTGGCCGTGTGTGAGAGGTGCTGTGTAAGTGTGAGTCCTTGTGGTGGTTGGAAGACAAAGAAGAAAGAAGCTGAATTTATCTTGTCAAAACATCTCAAAGCTTTCCACGTGAATTATTGTGCAGTGTAGTGACTGTGCATTTTAAAGGTAGATACAGCAGCCAATTTGTGCACAGTAATGTACCACCAACAGCCTCAGTGTGTCTGACCTGACTGGTTTATCTGGGGGATTGTTGGCCAAGACACTGATAGAGAGAAACTTCCTTCTCTTTTCGAATAGCGCCATGGGTCTTT